AAGGGATAAAAATTGTCCAGGTAAATGCAGCCAATAGAACAATGAGGCTCCACTGAGCTGGGTTTGGCGGAGTTGTTTATTTTGTTCTTTTTATCTTTCCTAAGACACAGTGGACTTGCTATAAGGCGTGACTGTGAGACATGGGCATCTCTGCACAAAGGGAAGATGAAGCCACGCAATTATGGCTGAACTGTCTGTGTAAACTGCTGATGCTGAACCTGGGCCCAAGAGCTCCAAACTCTGCCTCCATAAGAAGGCAAAGACATTCACACATGGTAGTGGATCCTAGCCCCCTGAGAACTATTGGGGTACTTTGATCACTGTCCCATTCATGCACCAGATGGGAGTGACACACAGGTAGCCAGTCTTGAGTAACAGAAGATATGGGCATCTGTTCTTACCGCCTGTCTTCACATGGCACAAGGGCCTACATAGGCATTTTATTCCTGTCTTAGTTAGGGTTTCTATTGCTGTGAAGATTCACCATGACCACAGCAATTCTTATAAAGGAAAACATTGAATGGGATGGCTTACAGTTTCAGAGGTTTAGAATTATCATTATGGTGGGACAGGACGTCATGCAGGCAGACATGGTGCTGGAAAAGGAGCTGAGAATTCAACAACATGAAGTGTACTGACACACTGGGCAAGGCTTGAGCACATATGAGACCTCAAAGCCCACCCCCCACAGTGACACACATCCTCCAACAAGGCCACATCTACCCCAACAAAGCCATGCCTCCTAGTACTGCCACTACCTAATAGCTTGTGGGGGCCAATTACATTCACACTACCACAACTCCCATGTATAAAATCCAGTCCTGGGAAATAGCTAGAAATAGTCAAGGAACCCAGTCTCCAAGGTGGGAAAGGGTGGCATTTAAACCTAGTTATTACAAAAATCCTAAAGGGCTCAGAATACTCTAAAAGGAAGTTTTCTTACCCAAAGATGACAAACCAACAGATCAAACACCTGTCAATGTGTGGCAGATATTTGGCTGGAGATGGCCAAGTATTGAATGATAACATTAATAATAAATCTAATAATAAGTATGCTACAATTCATATTTGTTAATAACTTGTTATGTGCATAGCACTCTAAGAAGTATAGGGGGGAAAGCATAACACTGCTAACCTATAACCCATAACACATCCAAACAGACCTCCAAAACCCTCACCCAGTCTCCTGTTTTCATTGGCTCCTCGCTGAATTACATCATCCTTCAGGCCTCCCCCACTGAACTAGACACCACAAGAGAAGCCAAGAGAAACCAGATATAGTTGCTCTCTTTCAGAGAACATCATCTGGGTATAAAAAGAGTGAGTATCCAGAGCAGGCTCTTTGAGCTGGGTCTCCTGGAAGTGGAAAGAGAATAGAGAACTTTCTCAGTAAAGAGAACAGTGTTAAAATCACGCAACAGGAGAGTTTATAAACACCATGGCAAACAGCTGGCAACAAAGGGCAAATTGATAATTGCCAACTGAGCATTTCTGACAGCAAAAGGCAGACAAGTGAGAAGAGGTGCCTGTTTGCATTGGGGAGATTGGGAAAGATGCACACACAGAGAGAACAGTTGTTTTATCAGGCTCTCAGAAACTGGGCAGGCTTCACCTGAGCAGCAATAGAAAGAGGGCTTATCCCCAAGAGCATCCTTCATCACTGGCCGTGGGCAGCTTTGAGCTGGTTGGTCCACAGAAGAGCATGAACCAGAAGATGGAGAATTGGTTAAAGGGGGCTAGGTCGACCACACCTCAGGGAAATGTGGGCTGGGCCTCAGACTTAGAGAACACGCCCCTCACTTCAACTGCTCAGAAAGTCACCCTCACTCCATACCCTCCAACATCACACCATGTGGGGACACTTTTGATTCAGAGTGCTTTTTCTATCAAAAAACAAAACAGAAACCTCCAGGTCTCCTGAAAACAGCTTATCTTAAAATTGCCATTTTCCACTTACTCTCTGTGGGTGGCAAGGGCTCCCTTTCTATCCCTCATTGCGCTGGGCAATTTGCTAACACAGGACGTGGAACCAAGATGAGCGGGCTGCGTTCTCTGAGTTTCCACACACTGCTGGCAGACTCACAGACAGAGCTAGGGACTCATCCTCCGTAATGTACAAGAAGAAGGCAGCCCACCAAGGCCCAGTCCTGACCTCACAGGAGGGGGTAAAGTAGGAAGTGAACCCTACCAACTCCTCCTAATGCCATCATGTGTTTCTGTATGCACTGTCTTTGCTTTTACAGTTTCCGTGCCATTGATACTCCAACAGGGCGAGGGTGTGAGCAGGGTGCTTCCTGCCCTTTGTGCACACTGCCCAGTGTCTGATCTGAACAGCACTGTTCTCTCTCTTCCTCTCTCTCTCTCCACTCCTTTCTCCTCTTCCTCCTTCTTTCTTTTTTTCTTTTTTTGGTTTTTCAAGACAGAGTGTCTCTGTGTAGCTTTGCACCTTTCCTGGAACTCGCTTTGTAGACCAGGCTGGCCTCGAACTCACAGAGATCCATCTGCCTCTGCCTCCCGAGCGCTGGGACTAAAGGTGTGTGCCACCACCGCCCCTCTTCCTCCTTCTTTTCTTCCCTTTCTTCTTCATTTATTTTTTTTTCCTGTTGCTACTGGCTCTACCTCTGAACGACACATCATCTCTCCTCCTTTCTCTTTTTACCTAGTTCATTCCTACTTGTTCTTGGGTACCAGCTTGGATAGTGCTAGAGTTGGCTGTGTAGGGTTTTCACCTCCAAAATTTCACCTGTTAGAAGTGTGATCTAGAATAGCTATGTTGGGAGGTGGTAGAGAAATTTGAAGAGTTCAACCTAGTGGAAAGTTGTGGTGGTATTGTGTTCCCCAAAATATTGTTCATGCTAATAAATTTATCTGGGGTCAGAGACAGAATAGCCACAATATTAAACATAGAAGATAGGCAGTGGTAGCACACGCCTTTAATCCTAGCATTCCAGAGGCAGAAATCCATGTGTTCAAGGATACAGCCAAGCATGGTGACTCACGCCTTTAATCCCAGAAAGCAAGACTTTAATCTCAGGGAGAGGTGGTAGAAAGCAGAAAGGTATATAAGACGTGAGGACTAGAAACTAGAAGCATTTGGCTGGTTAAGCTTTTAGGCTTTGAGCACCACAGTTCAGCTGAGATTCATTCTGGTTGAGGACTCAGAAGCTTCCAGTCTGAGGAAACAGGATCAGCTGAGGAATTGGTGAGGTGAGGTAGCTGTGGCTTGTTCTGCTTCTCTGATCTTCCAGCACTCACCCCAATAATTGGCCTCAGGTTTGTTTTTATTAATAAGAACTTTTAAGATTCATGCTATAGAAAGTGATTAGATTATTGAGGACACCTTCTCTTCCATTTCCTCTCCCTCCTCCTCTCCCTTCTGTTCACTTTTTTATTTTGTTGTTGTTGTTGTTGTTGTTGACTTGGGGTTTTTTTTTTCTGCTGCTAAGAATCTAGCCCTGGGCCCTGTGGGCATCAGCCACTGAGGTCTATTACATGCCGCACTAAAGGAATGAATACTGATCTCCTAGAGGAAGTTCTTGTGAGAGTGTTGTTATGAAAGCATGACCCCCCCCCTTTTCTCCCTCTGGCTTCCTGGCTCTATAAGATCTCTCCTTTTCACACATGCTTTCACCATGATGTCACACAGAGACAGCCCCTCACTAGAGGCCAAACCAAATTGTTTGCTCTCTCTTGGATGTCCTAACTCCATATGTGTGAAACAATAATTCAGTTGTGTTGTGGTGGTAACAGGAAACAGCCTCACAGGTAAGACTCCTTCCAGGAAGTCAACACTGCCCACTCAGCATCCATGCCCTTCCTATAGACTGCCTTGGTCTTGTATTTATTTCTCTTACAGTCTCAATCAACAGTATCATGGTTTCTAGTTATGGGAGGCCTGTGAGTGTAAGACTACACCTGGCTTGATGGCTGCATTCCCTATGCTGGCCATTGCTCCTTGTGCCCACTAAACATTCAGTAGAAATTTGTTGGAAGTGTAGATATCGCTATTATTTCTTAAACATTACTTTTCATGGTCGTACAATACCTTATTTTAAGACTATATCATAATTTAGTATGTTCAAAATTTCCAGTGTCCAAAAATAACGTTTGAACAATCATTTATTGTTTAATTCATTTATTGTTTGTCTTTTCCCACTAAACTGGGGAATGTAAACTGGTTTCTTACAATACATAAAGAACAAAGACCATTGTGATTTCCACACACCAATATGTCCTCTACAATTAGTACAGTATTTATAATGAACAACTTTAACAGACCTTAATAGCTATTAAATTTGAAAAATAAAAGAATTAATGGCCTTGGGAATTATTTCTAATGTATTGTCATTATCAATATACCATAACGGGCTGGAGAAATAGCTCAGTTATTGAGTATTTATCAATACAAGTCCAGTTCTCAGCACCCACATCAGGTAGCTCACAACCACCTTTAACTCCAGTTCTAAAAAATCTTATGCTCTCTGGCCTCTATAGACATCTGAACATATGTGCACAAAATAACACAGGCACACAGACATGCACATAAGTAGAAAATAAGTCTTTCAAGTTTTTCAAGTCACACAAGAAGTAATCTCAAATCCAGATTACTTACCTTGAACATATAGAGTGGTTTTTGTTGCACATGTATACAGTAACAATTTATTCTCTGACCATCCCTCATCATCTGAGAAGGCTATTTCTCATGTCCTCTACACACTGAAGCACATTTAAAATGTACCTTCTAAGTATTTGTCAACCAGGCAGATGCAAATGGAATTTTCGATTTTGGCTACTTTGCATATATTTTATATCATGGAAGGATTAACAATTTTAATTAATTTGTCATTGATCCAGTTGTCTATTTGTAGTCTTTGTCCATTTTCCTAGTAGAGTCTTCATGGTTTTTGTTTCAGTACAGGTGAGTTATCCAAAACATTCATGCTTTGTCTTTGACACTCTAACATTTGTCTTTTCATTACAGACTCCTTTTGATACATGAAGATTTTTTAAAATAGTGAAATCTGTTGTTGTTCATTCCAGTATTTTTCTGCCTGGAATTTTCTTTTCATTTAGAGGTAAGCACAAGCTTAAATTTGCTTCTAATCTTAAAATGGCTTTATTTTCTTTCATGGACAGATATCCCTCTTGTTATATAGCAAAAAGTGAGGTTTGAAACATTACATTTTCCCAATCCTGATTATATCTGCATAGTAGCCATAAGAGTGTCTTTCTCAGGGCTACTCCATACAACAGGTTCCTCTGTTCTCCCATCTTGCACAACAATGACTTGTGATGCATTCTGAAGCATAAGCCTTCCTGTATTCAAAGTCTTTGTCATAACTCTAGGCTATTTTCAACTATTTGATTTTTAAATAAACTTTGAAATTATTTCCAAGTCTTCCCCTCACCCTGAAAGAAGTCAGATTTTGAGGAAAACAAACGTATACGTGAATATAAGGAGAATCAATTTAAATGTATATGTTAATATGAGGAGAATCAATTTCTTCATCAACTCAGTTTTCCTACTGGCCTTTCCTTCAGCTCTTCCTGAGGCTCCTGGGTGTCACTGGGCAGACACGGTGGAAACCAGAAGTACTCTGCCCCCATGCAGACATCTTCCACTACAGGCTGAGTAATGTCCAGGCTGGCTCAGGCTCACAAGCTGTGGCATCTCTGAAGGAGGTGCTCCTGTGAGATTCATACAGCAATTATTCAGCTAATTTGCAGCCCAAATGAACATTTTGATCTGAAATCATTTAGTAAATTGAGCCAAAATTAAGATGAGATATAGGATTTAGGAAATAGCAGGACACCGTTACAGATGAAGGGAGGGAGGGAGAGAGGGAAGGAGGGAAGGAGGGGAAGAAGAGGGGAGAAATGGAGAAAGATGAGAAAGGGGAGAAGGAGGAAGAGAAAAGGGGAGGATGAGGAAGAGGAGAAAGGGGAGGATAAGGTGGAAGCAGAGAAAGGGGAGGAGGGGGAAGAGAAAAGGGAGGAGGAAGAATTATGAAACAGTCTCTTCAGCTGCCTGCCAGGCAGAGCTGTCTCTCCCCCTCACAGTTTCTGCATCTGAAGGTTAAGTAGGGTGGACCAGACCATTCTGACAGTCCTTTCCTCACTGAGGTCTACCAGCCACTCACACATTGCCCATGCCAGTCTTCGCACTGAGTAGCAAATTTGGGGAGCTCTCCTTTACTGGCCCTGCTCCAATTACGCAAAATGCAATTCTACTTTACACATCACGACTGTGACTTCAAGGACAAGTCAGTGTCCCAGACGACTGAAGCAGGACATAGGTACAGGGGACACTGAGGACCCTCCCACTAGCTACTGGACTTTGAAATTAAGATGAGGTATTAGTGGCCCTGGCCTAGACTCTGTAGAGAGTGTTGCTGTCTCTGAGGACATTCCTCTTACTCTGTGAAGTCTGCAATCATATCCGCAGTAATTGCAGGGAAAACCATTCCCCAATGCCTCACCACCAGAGAGATGAGTTCTGATTCAGAGACAGCCTCCAACCCCAGAGGACAGGGCTTTGCAGAGGACCCACCACATATAATGCTGGCTAAATGAAGGCACAGACTCCCTCCGCAAGGCTCAACTGTACAGATCCAGATCCAGCCTCACAGACTGTATCAACCCCACTAGGAATGGCAGAGAAGAAAAGCTCAAGTGCCTGGGGAAATCCTGGAAAAGGAAAGACACTGTGAGACAGCTCTGAGACCAATTCTCAGCACTCCGCTAGGAACGGCAACACTGAACTAAGTATTTAGCATCTCTAAGCTGCAGTTGCTACACCTATAAGCGAGCATTGCTAGCTTGATGGTTAATACATGGAATGTGTCACCACATGGAAGTGACGATGTGCCTTTCTTTTCTTTTTCCCACCCCAGAAGGAGAGATGACCCAGAAAGAAATATAATTCAAACACAAGAAATCTCTGATCTCCACCTGAGGCAAATTAGACCCTCTCGACCCTTTCTCTTCATACCAAACAATGAAAACATGAACAACAAATAAGCCAATGGGTATGAGTCTCCTTCATCAGGCAAAACACATCCTAAGGTAAGATGTCAAATTTTACAGACTAGAGGAGAAAGAGCCTGCCTGGCATGCCCACAGAGCCTGCTGTTGCTGGGTGGTGGTGCTGAGGGCAGGTCGGAGGTAATTAGCCCCTGATTCCCATCATTACAGCAGCTCCTGGAGGCTGCCTGGGCCCTGGAAAGGGCCTTCTGTCGGCTGATGCTAATGATGATGTTCCCGTGTTAACCTTCCCCCCGGGTGTTCTCCATCACTGGGCAGCCAGAAGATGAGTGATTTCCTGGCTTGGCGTTGCCTCGCACAGCTGGGCAGCTGCCTGTGGGCTGGAACCAGGGGACTCTTCCTGGGTGATCTTCTTTCACTGTAATGGTCTTTTCGGGGAAAATAGGATCAGAGCCTTCGGATACACTTCCTGACTCTCCAGAAAAGACCCAGTGTGGGCAGCATGCCGTGGGGGCTTTCAGTCAGTCCAGCATCTGCCATTCCCTGCATGCAGGATGTTTTCCCAGGGTCTGTCACGTGACTCCTTATCCCCCCTGTCACCCCAGCACCAGGTCATATGGATTCTGATTACTTTTGTCCCCTCAACCCCCTGTTCCCTGCAAGCTCCTGAGGAGGGCCCATATCCTGCTTATGCCTCCAGCATGACTCCCGGATCCAAACAGACTTACTGAGAGCCAGACTGCAGCGTGAGGAAGGCACTGGAAGACAAGGGAGGTTGGGGGCTCCTTAGATCACTCTGTCATATGGGACCAGCAGCCGAACCAGAGTCAAGGTGGTCACAGTTTTGATTTCTCCTACGTGAAGTGACTTTTTTGTTGTTGTAAATCCCAAATTAGAAAATGGTATTCCACTAAAAGAATCCATTCTGTCAGAATAAACACAAATGTGAGAACTCAACAGTATGTATTAAAGTCCAGGAGTTCCTAGGACTACACCACTTGGAAAAGGCTTCTAGGGAGTTGTGGGAACAGTCACTTAACTCCAGGAAGCTTCCGAGGATTAAGATGTACAGTGCTGATCTTACACAAAGCTGGTAAATAATTTGCAAATTAATGTAATGAATGGTGAGCCAACACAGTTGGGTGGGTCCCTGAGCGGCCCCACAACCTCACACCCAACAGTGAGGGCCACAGAGTGCCACAGAGATGTGCCAAGGGGACAATGTCCTTGCTGTCCCTCAAGTTCCACTTTGATTGTTAGACCTAGTGTGACCAACTGAAGGACCTCCTTCAGTGACGTCATAGAGCATGTGAGCTCTACACAGATCAGAGGCACATAGGCAGGTGCACTCAAGACTTCCTTCCCTCCCTGCAGAAGGAGGAAACACAGACTTACTGCCTTACGAGACAGAGGTCTTCGTTGAGGTTTATTCCTTTGTAGGGGATTGATTGGAAAGGAAAAGTATATAATCTTCTAGCATTGTTATTAAAAGCACCAGTTAACCCCACTGTATAGAGCTGTGGTTTACTTAGTGAGGGGTTCGGAAGGCAGGAACTGAGGCTCCTGGCCACTATCAGGATGCATCACTGCCCTGCTGATATACTGAGTATCGGGAGGCAGGGGAGAAAATAAGCAGTGCCCTGCAGAGTCTCCCTTCACCATCTCTTGTGAGCATTGCCCCACCCAGTTTCCCAGTGAAGAGGAGGAATCCAGTCCTTCCTTCAGAAAGTCTGCTCTACAGTGTACATGGAGGTTCCCTTAGGCAATGTGCGGCTTAGAGAAAGAACCCCCTGCAGACCCCACACACTCCGTCCCTGATGCTCATACTTACCTCACTCTGCAGGAGCCCATGCCTCTATTCCTAGCTCAGCACTTGCTCTCTTCTAGCTCTTGTACTCCCATATGCTGGCACTCCTGTACTGCCTTGGAAACCCCAGGGCACACTGTGAGTCCTTTTTCACAGTTCTACACCCCCGTGAGAGACGGCACCAAGTGTGTGAGTACTCATCTGCCAACCAGGTGGGCTACCCTTCGGTTCTGGCCTTTGTTCCTGGCCCTACCTTCTTGTCTTCCAATAGGATAGGACCAAGGCTACCTCCACCATGAGCTGCGGGTGCAGAGGGATATGCACTGCTTCCTTATGAGATTGTTTGCTGTGTGACCACCAGCAACTGCTCCCACCTGCCGTATTTTGGGCTGTGCCCCAGCTATCTGTGAAAGCTGAAAATAAAGTTCTTCCTCATGGTCATACAAAATTGACACTTCAGGATTACTAAGAAGTGTTGAAGCTGAGAGATCGACATGAATGCAAATTACATACATTTGGAGTTAGAGATGTACATCTAGCAAGTTTCCTCAGTTCATTTCAGTGTTAAGACTCTCAGTCTCAGCAAAGGGAAGCAGTTGCTGGTAGCCACACAGCAAGCACTCTCCTAGGCAACAAGGATATATCCCTCTGCACCCGCAGCACACTGTGGAGGTAGCCTTGGTCCTATCCTATTGGGAGATAGGAACGGAACCAAAGGCCAGAGCTCAGCAACAAGAAGATGAAAAGAATTCTTGAGTGGCACAGCTTCTCTTGCCCATTTGAGGTCTATGTCTGAACTTGAGGCCCATGAGAGCAAAGGAAGATTCTGAGCTTTTGGTCTATGTTTCCAGAATTTCAACACCCTATATTTTCTGTTTATGAGATAGTTCCTACAAATTCCATTCAGCTGCCATAAGTCAGCTCAGTGTCATCAGCCAAACATAAATTTAGACTAACCAGACAGATCTGGCTGTTTGAGTTCCCAGCTACTCTCATGGGCCTGGGGACACATTAGGGGGGAAAGAAGGAGCTCCTGTAGGCCCCCCACCCCTAACTGCCTGCCTGGCCCACTCAGAGCTGTGTTCCCACCAATAGACGAAGGGAAGAAGCCGCGGCAGCTGAAGGATCACCCTGCATTTCTGTCCTTTTTCCTTGTGGGGGCCTCTGGACCTAGGTACCTGATATCAGTGTTGCTCTAATTGGACTACGGAATGAGGGGGAATCTGGAGCTCACACGATAGAAGGATTCAGCTCAATCTGCAGCTTGTACTGAAGAGCTAAACTGCACGTAATTCAGTTAAAGAAGAAGGAAGCAAACCTCATCACAACAGTTGAAAACACGAGAACAACAAATAAACAGCTGCTTTGAGTCAGAACAAGGAGGCCAATTTGATCCTTACAGAAAGAAAAGTGCCGCCGCCTTGCATGTGCGTGTGTGTGTGTGTGTGTGTGTGTGTGTGTGTGTGTATGTGTCTGTGTGTCTGTGTGCATGTGCAGGGAGAAACAGCTCCCTTCAAGATGCTGCAGCTGTGAGTACAGCATTAACCACGTTCCTCAAACAATTTGCTAGATTAAAACTACGCCATTCATAGCACGCAGGCTTAGCCAAGTCTCGATACTAATGGGCTGCCCTTACAGCACTTGTGTTCCACGAGCTGTCACTGGGCTATATAGGGGGAAATATTTATATTCTGGGAGCCAAAAACCCTGGATTTGTAAATGTACTCCATGCCTACCAGCCACAGGTGAAAGTGTGGCAAATTACAGAGTTTTGTCCATTCCCCGTGCAGTAAGCAAACAGGCTGTCCCAGAACTGTAAAACGCTAAATTCCTCTAAACTTGAGTGGACCAGAATCTCCCAGGGTTCTATGAATTAGTATTTTAATGGGAGCCCAGGGTGATTCTCTTGCACATGAAAACTGAAGTGTTGGTAACATAAACTCTCAAAAAGCATCAGTTCATATTGCTGTAATAATTCCACATAACAAGAATAACCCACATAATCTCAATGGTGTGCAATAATGGGCACTTCCTCCCAGAAATCAGTGGTCAATAGAGGCAGCTCAGCTTCCAACTGTAGACCTATATGTGTTTGGGAGGGTGGGAGTGGGAGTCTGTTCTTCATCTTTATCCAGGGTCCAGGCTAAGAGTGCACTAAGTCCTCTCCTAGCCACAGCAACAGTGGAAGAGGGCGATGTGGAAATCCATACAGTCCCTTTGGGCCCAGGATCAGATTTAGTTCCCTGACACTTCTACCCCATTTAATGTCCAAAGGAAGTTACATAGCCAAGTCCACAGTAAAAGAATGAGAAACACACTGCCTACAAGAAAACCACAGCAAGGATTCAGATTCATAGAGGGGTAAAGAATTGTACCCACCTGGGCCTTACATCTATTTCCTTTAACAAGAGCCTCAATTCTCCTGCCTATAAAATGGGCAGAGTAAGTCATACCTTGATCTATCCCCTGAAAGTATTGCTAGCATGTAGTGAGTGCTTGCATTTGACAGTAATTTCTAAAAAGTGTAGGTGATGTGTCCATTTATTGACTATCATTCCTGTCACAAGAGCCTTGAAGGTTAGAAGACTGTGGTAAACCAGATGACCTTATGGTCTGCCAAGATCTCCTAATTCAAATTGCCAGGCTAAGCTATATATTGCTACACATTATTACCCATCCATGCACCCTCCCTGCTCATATGCCCTCAGCACAGCACAGAGGTAAAAATAAGACATCTTAAGGCAAGCACAAGGACTCTGGGGGAGATGCCATGATGAGATTTCTTGGTGCCCATCCCAGTCCAAAAAGCTGCTGACAAAGGCTTGTTGTATTCAATGAATTGTTGTGATTACCATGTATTTTGCTTGGAAGTGTTCTGCCTGATACCTTAAAATTAATATCAGGGGCATTATAAATTGATGTTGTGGTGTCTCCACACAAGTATCTTAATCATGACAACCCAATGGTGTAGAATCATTGCCCAGTTTTTAACCATTACTTTCTCAGAGGTCTGTTATATCCTGGAGCCATTCGGACAAACTGGCATGCACACACAAGAAAGGGAGTGGGCAAAGATAACCTCAGGTGTCAATCCAGCTGGCTTAGGCTTGTAGACAGGCCCTACCCTCGAGCCTTCCCTTTTCATTAGTATGCACACGAGACACAGCTCATGTGTTCATGTGGATGCCCCAGCATCCCTGCACTCCAAGGATAAGCCTTCCCACAAAGCCCCATTTGGGCCAGCTACCAAAAGAAATGGCATGCTCAGGTAAAGGAACCTGTCTCTTTGGGATCAGTAGGGGTTGTGACGAAGATGACACACCCCTGAGCTTCTCCAAAGGCATGCCTGGGTAGGACATTTTCATCAGTCTTACCTGTAACTTCAGACTTTCAATCTCTCAAGCTAAGTATTTGGCAAACCAAAAACAAAATCTTGCATTTGTTCTTTTAGTGATATTTCTTTATACTTTTTCCAAATTTTACAAGCAGTCTTCAGAATCTGTCTTCCAAATATCCTATTTCTCCTCTGTATTTTCAACTAATTTGTATTCTGTGACTGAGCTTCTTTCTCCCTCAGATCTTAGAAGCCACTAATTTACTTCTCAATCATTGCCATCTCCTTTAACTTAGCTACCAAATTTTCCAATTGGAGAACAGGATTTTTAGTGCCAGAAATTATTCATTGTACTGTGGCTGCCTCTTCCCCCAGTCTTCAGTTTTATAATTCCCGTAGCTCTGAGGTTTGCCCTACGGCACGAAGCAGCCTGGCTGGGTGCTCTGGCTACGCCTCCCTCTTGATAGTTGCCATATTGTGTTTTCATTCTCCACAGCGTACCTGTGAGCCTTCAAAGCTGCCGAGTTTCCAAGAGCATGGTAAGCTGTCTTTCCTCTATAGATGCTCAAGAGGAAATCACCCTGCTTCTACCCCTCCCAGTATAAGAGTGAGAAAGAGACTGACCTCTGCAGCCTTCTAAAGCTTCTCTGGACCCAAGAAGACCAGTCACATCCAACTGTTAGCATCTCTCTTGAAATGTCTA